TTTTGGTGGTTTCTAAGAATTTTGGGGGGCATCTGAATTCCTTTGACTTGCCGGTTCGTCATTTTCGACTAGTCCGTTGCGAAAGAACGAAAAGAAAGAAAGGGTTTCTAAGAAGGGTTCAGCACTATTGGGGGTCAGACACTTGGGGGAACCTTTCTCCTGGCCTCCCACGGGCGTCGGGTCCGGCTCCAGCTCTCCGTTCCAGGTCGGACCCGAAGAAGTCCATCGCGGAACTCATCCAGGAGGGGCGATGGGGCAGTCCATGGACGTGGAGAGTCGTCATGGTAGTCATGGTAGCTGGAGGAACCGCTGAAGAAACTCCATATGGTATGATATAAGATATCATAGTCACAATTCACAATACAAGATAATGAAGACTAATCTCATGGAGAGGCTGGCGAGGGCGATGGGGAGAAAGAACGGGAGAGAGAGAGATAGAGAATATCACATCCCACAGACTCCATGTATAGAATAGGATTAAAGAAAACCAGTCCCACACCCCAATGTAGGAATATGGGAATGCATTTCCTATACAAATAAGTAGTAATAGCAAGCGGATCAATTGAGGTGATTTAGATCAAGTCCTACACGACCTACGCAGGTCGATGTGGTCATCAGTGGTTTGTTTGGCTTGCCATGTTGGCGTCCAGAGCGAGAATTCCATCATTCGATCCCGGAGCTTCGTATACACGAGTTACAGCGAAGACCGGACAAATCCCGTTGTAAAGCGTCTAAACATCGGACAACCAGGGGAGGGTAGTGAGACGGGAAAAGCCTCTGCACATGTGGACGTTCAAGCCTTCTTCCATAGTCTCTCAAAGGCGACTCAACATGTCGAATTTAAGCATATTTACCGCGGTTTCAGAGTAGATGGCCCTGGCACCCTAAGATGTCTTTAAAGAAATGGGGGGTTCCTTATAATTATAAGCCACCAAACGTGGTATTTGGTGCCATCGAACCTAGATATACCACCGGCAGAACCTCTGAGAAGTCGCTCTCCAGACCTGGATTCGACTGGTCGACCTGTCCACGACAGCCGTCCCGGAATGCCGAAGTCGCCCGACAGGAGCGAAAGGAGCGGGAGAAGAATAACACCCCGGAGGCCGATGACAGCACGAACGAGTGAGCCGTGGCACTTGCATGTGAGCCATGCCGGACAAAGTTAATATACATATTGCACCAAAAAGCACCAAATTATATATATATAGGTAGGTACTAAAATATAGCTATGTAGTGCTAAATGACATGAATGAAGAAGTTTGTGTGTTTCACTTCGTGTGCTTGCTTGAAGACAGCCGCTTGGATGTCAGCAATGGTTTGTAGAGAGGGTGTGGTTTCTCTTGAGTTGAGGATTCCAGCTGTTTCCAAGTCATGACGCTTCAACTTTGATTCTTCCAGTGTCCCTGGCTGCAATTCCAGGCGATTGCCAAGAGGGCAGAGGAGGCAGCGAAGAGGAATGTCTTTCGGCAGCAGCTGCTGGTGTGTGTGTGTGTGTGTGTGCGCGTGCCCCTGCGTGCGTCTTTTTTTTGCGCCACACGGTGGATCCAGGTCCAGTCCCAGACACTCCATGAATGTAACTCATGTAGACTCTTGATGCCTCTTGATGAATGCACCCTTCCCGATTTGAATGTAAAGATCTGTTTACATTATTACACATACATTACACTTTGACCTAGGTTGACCCCTCAAACCGCCCCAACTGATTCCGAGTATGGAGACTTTTTGGGGGGTTCTCCCGTCCCATTCTCAAGGGTTCGTTGAGGTACATACTAGTGGGTAGCGGTGGCCAATGTGTTTTGTTTTTGTTTCACTTTTGGTTCGTTTGTTCTGCGTGAGAGTTTTGACTTACTGTAAGTCCTCCTTGGTGGTTCACTTCACTTGGTTGGTCCAACCAATATGTTTTTGGTCCTTTCTAGCTCTGTAACTCGCAACACCTCGCGAGAATTTTACGAGGGGATTGCTTAAGCGGGATATAAGGTTTGACCGCCTACAAGCATATGTTTGGCTTTGTTGTGAGTTCCTTGACAATGAGCCTGCCCCTCTAAGTCATCCAGCCACTGCAGGTTCTGTTAGTTTCCTTCATGGACCTTTGTGGGTTCTGTTCTCCAAGTATGTAGTTCAAAGTGAGCCAGATGTTTAAACCATTTAAACCCCAACAAAAAGCGCTTCCTTTTCAGTAAGAATACCTCTCCAAAACCAGGCTGAATCCAATTCCTTTGTTGATGTCCCATGTCTTTGCTCAGCCTTCTGCCCATGAGCACCCCACATTTGAGGGCGAGCAGACCCCGCGCAAGCGGAGCCATGTCGAGGCGGAGCCCTGCACCGAGGGTGCTCGAACGAAGTCGAAACCAGTTCGTTGAACCGAACGGATCCTCCCTAGAAGGGGGGGCAACTCTATATCCCCAGGGCTCCAACCATATCCTCAGAAGGCGGTTAGACCCCCCCTGGCACCCACCCCTGGCCCACCTTCGAAACGGAGATGGGACAGGAGCCCTAGGGTATCGCGGGGGGGGTGTACGTGTACCCTCAAAGCCCTTAGTTTTGGAGGGTCCCGATCCGATCCGGGCAGTTTCCTTCAGGTCAACCGCCCAGCCAAGAACTGAGAGTACCAGGGTTTGGACCTCATGCCTCACGCACCTGAAATCGATTCCTGGCCCACGGATGTCACCCAGCTGTTTATTCCTAAGGGCTTTACACACTGTGTGGATCTGTGTTTTACCAAGTTCTTGAATGTTCATATATTTTATCAGAATGATTGAGGAGGACATTTTGAGGAGACACCTGATGTGAGATGATGTGAGTGTATGACAGGTCTGTCACATTTAAAAGATTGTCTTTGAAGGCTGGCTAGGGAATATGTACTGCATGTGTATAGACTGTCCATATATATATATATATATTTTTTTTTTCATTCCCCAGCACTGGAGATGTGTAGTTGTCTGGAAACCGTGGGGTTTCTTCATCAGCAGTCTAGATGATGTCAGGAAGCTGGTTCCCAGCTTGAAGCCGAGGCCAGTCATCAACCCTTCCCTGTTTCACTTCTTTCAGGTCTTGTCACCTGATGTCACCAGTCTTGTGGGGTCGAACGAGTCGGGATCCGGCCGATCCCAGGTTGTGACCATGGAGGACCGGGGGTGGTAGACATGGACACTCCTTAACAGGTAATGGGGCTATAGACACCTCGACAGGAGGGTCCTGGTATAAGGGTTTCTAGGTCTATATAGGGCTTTAAGCTTTGGAGCCGTTGGTTATACCTAATATGGTAACTGGACCGATTGGGGAGAGATAAATAAAAGCTCATCACCCACTTTCATTATCCAGATGGACACACCTTGTCCTTCACAAAAGGTAGCTGCTTCGCTGTTTGTTTTCATGCTCTATTGGTAGCTGCATGATCAATTCCGCTGTGACAGGCTGAGAGCCCCAAAAGCAGAAGGGTTGTGCGACTTGCGGTGTTGTTGACATGCTTTGTTGCCATGGCATAGCGACTGGCATCATCTTCCGAGTGGAATCTGGAATTGAAGACCTGAGGGTGGTGCAAAGGTAAGAGGTGCAATTGCACAGAACTCAGCTCCTCAAGTAAGAATTGCTGAGCTGACTCCTCCAGTGAGCAGTGGCTCTCCGCGAGGCTTTCGGGAATGGCTTCGAGATCCAAGAAGCTCTCCAACTGCAGTCTGACCCCGAGGTGTTTGGATCGTTTGGAAGGGTCTAAGGTCCATTCAGAAATTGTTGGTTTAACAGAGTCTAACCCTGTGGATCCACATACCCTCTCAGAAGGTCATTGGAGACAATTTGTCTATATAAACTAATTGAAAGTTATATAGGCTTGGAGGGTCCGAGTACCTATTGGGAAGGTCTGTGGCTGTGGATTTTAAGGGTAAGTTGGTTTTGGGTCGATTTACACCCCTAGGGACGGTGGATGTGCACTTTCAGCCTGTTGGGGTGGAAGCGCTCCCACCCAAGACCAGTGCATAGGACGGTGACGCGCTAGAGGACCCAGAATGACCCGGTGCAAGCGATGGTATCGCTTGAAACTGCTGGTGGGACTGTGTGGCTCTTAAAGCTTCCCAAGAGCAGCAGGTTCGAATCTAGGTCAAGTCCTATAGGAAGTGCAGTGCGCATGTGGGGACAGAGTCATCTATTGACTATACCCTAGGGCTCCAACCACCTCAAGAGAAGGTGGTTGGGGTGGGTTTGGGGGGTCTAACCACCTTCTGAGGATATGGTTGGAGCCCTAGGGATAGGTCACAAAGGACTGAACTCTGGGTGGCATTTTTTGGTGTCAGGAACCATCTTCGCAGAGGGCCCAGGCTTCATTCCCGGCGAAGCCCCACGGGCGCGCCCTGGGCGGGGTGGTGTCCCTAGTCCGTCCTAACATGTCAATGATGAGGAGGTGGACCCGACGAGGTCTGGCCGAACAGAGGGAGGGATCAGTTCTGGAAGTTGGTACCTTGGAATTCTTCTTCTCCCACACGGAACTCTGCAACTCTATACTTCGGCCTGACAGTTGTCAGATGACCTGGTGTTTGCCTGCTTTTTTCGCCGCAAGCCACCGAGGCAGCAACTCTTGACCAGCTTTTCAGAGAAAGACTTCCAGGAGATGACCGTCATCACGGGCCGCCCCACACCCTGGTGAAAGGTTTTTTTCGGTGGAAACATGTCCAGTGGCTTCCGCGGTCTCCGAAGAAGCCGGTGGAAGCCTCTTCTACCAGCCGCCGGTTTTTGAGCTCGTAGCCGTGACGGTGCCAGGAGACCCTAAAAGAACTCCAAGCACGACACCCCAAGCGCAAGACCAAGGGCCATTCTGATAGTGTGGCATACTTCGAGGCCGGGCCGGGCAGGTCTTTCGGGGCGTCGCCACTGAAGCAATGCAGGCGCTTCGACCGCAGCAGCCCGCGGTGGCCGTGGTCGGAGGTCGGCAAGCCCGGCGCAGTCGGTGCTGTCAGGTTGGCCTTTTGGAGGTCGGGCCGTCCTGATCTTTGGTTTTTCGCCAGCCAGGCATGCTTCATGGCGAAGCAAAAAAGAAAAAGCATGCCTTTCTACCAGTTGTGGCAGTTCAGTGCACATTTTATGGGCTAGAGACCTTATTTTTTTGGGGTCCAAAAATATCCAAAGTGTTCGACCGTCTTGTGGGAGTGGCTGCAAGAGGGGCTCCTGGTGGGGCTCCAACCCCGCCCCCCCCGGTAAAACGAGGTTCAGCAATCGAGAACTTCGAGGTCCGCATCTGGAGTCGACCTTTGGGGGAGCAAACCCCTGACGCGATGGAAAAAATCATCAGCCTGGCAGCCAGACTTCATGGATCTTAATGGCATTCATGGTCTCCTGGAAGTGGCAATGCAATTGATCCTGGAAATTCATGGAACGTTTCCGAGTCTAGATTCATAGGCTATATAATTGCTGTATATACGGAATGAGTGTCTTAATGAAATATTACTAACAAACACATTATAAACATGTTGTAATACCTGGACCTTCCACGGGTGTGTTTTTTCTGCCGTTTGGCGAAACAGCACAATTTTCAGTCGTTTGCCGTCAAAAGTGACGTTTCGATGTTTTTACAAAGGTTACCAAACTAGCAGTTGGCAAAAGTCGCCGTTTGGTCGGGGAAAGTCGCCGTTTGGTCGGGACAAGTCGCCGCTTCAAAACCTTGACATACCATCGAAAACATGGCAATGCAAAAAGTGCTTCAGTACAAAATAGTTGGCGTTTGCTTGAAAAAGCAGTTTTGATTGAAAAGGCGGAAAAAAAGCATACTTATGAAGACCCAGGTATATATATATATATTGATACTTCAGGTTCATATGCTAAGATATCGCTCGGCAACTTTCGACTTACCGACACTGATACACCAGACTGACACTGCTTTCGAGTAAAAGTTGCGCTCTGACACACTAGCATGGAAGTGGAAAGGCATACATGGGCCCTGGCAAGTCCATTTAAAAGAATACCAAACAGGGGGACTTCCTTCCATGTCCAAGTTGAGTGGGAGTGTGCAGCTTCCGCAACTTCGCAGCTTGCCCCACCCCAGGGATTGGAGATGTGAAGGAAGACATCATGACATGCCTTCGGAGACCTGGATGCTGCTCAGAAAAAGGCCTCAGATGGTTTTCCACACCAAATATGGCCACCAAGTATCATCAAGTGGTGTTTTACTCCAGCCAAGCGTCTAGTGTCGAAGAATCAGTTTTCTACAGCTTCCAGAATCCTCAATTTGGGTGTGGCTAAGATGCCCCAGCTTCACAAATGAACTTCTCGAAGTGCCTCTAGATCTGTAGCTCGTGGCGCATTCTCGTTGCTGTTCTTCGCTTGTGGGGCGCGAACATGTCGGCGCGACAAACGCGATCATCGGCTGACACGGGCAAAGACGGGCAAACACGACCTGCGTTTTTGCAGGTTCAAAAGCGACTCTGCAACTTGGCGCAACCAGCTACCCAAACCTGTTGGGTTTCAAGACTGGTTGCGGCCGGTGAGTTTTCCGTGTCTCACACAGCATTCGTGTTCATTGAGTGATTGTCATTGCCAGAGTCGTGTCTACAGGTTTTTAGTGAAAGCACCAGGCATTGAATGATTACCGTTGCCAAACCTTTGAAACATTTTGGAACCACTCCAGATTGTGTAATTTCTAAATCGATTCACCGACCATTTATGCGGAATAAGTTATTTCTGTGGCAATTGTGAGGCCCCTGTATGGCATTCTTCTGTCATGCTGGTGGACCACAATGACAGTACAGATGGGCCCAGCGTCATGAGTCCTAGCATTGAGAAGTGCTCGGAAGGTGTTTTCAGCGATTGGACTTCAGCGTGGGGTGGCCCCCCCGGGACTAGATCCGTATCCCGATGGAGCACTGTTGCATGCCGGAAGAAACATCAACAACGTCATCTCCAAACAGATATTTGCAAATACCTGCAAGATACTTCTACAGATGCATATACATTCACACAACGTACTTTCGCAGTTAGAAAGTCCTAAATTTCCCTGGTTCATTGGTTCAACCCACACTTCAATCTCCATTCCTTGTTGAGCGTCCTCGACTGTGCCCGACTTGGTCGCAGGCCTTCAATGCTTTAGCATTCGCAGTCTACGCCAAGGCCGTAGACTGCGGGTTCTGAACGTGGGTGGAAAGTGAGGAGCATGGGGCACCGATGATGTGCAAACGTGCAAGATACACTTCTTGTCAATGAGAATCAACGCTCTTGATGAATTGTCCTTGTTGTTTTGATGCTGCACCTCCCTGGTTCCGTTTAATCTACTGCAGCTTTGTAAGAGTTTCATTAGGATTAGTTACAGTGTGTTGGGTGTTCACCCGTTGGGTGTTCAACGTGCAGTCGATGCCTGTTCTAGGTGCATTCGATGTTTTCATGTGCGACCTGCACACGTTTGCTTCCCGGTATGTTTTTGCTCCCACAGCTTGAAAGCGTTCCTATGATACATCATCCAAAATCATCGAAGCACCCATTATTCACTTTGTGCATCAACATTGGTTTCAGAATGTTTCAGATATGCTTAGGTTCAGAATGTTTCAGATATTACTTTTCCTTCAGCCTTTACTTGGGACGATTGAAGTCACTGATTAATCTGTTACAAGCGAGTTGTAATCACCGACCAGCATCACTTTGTGCTTCAACATTTGAATATATATCGGTGTGGACGTTGGATGAATTCCTCCCCCAACCCTAGCCGGGTAGACTCGGCCTCATAAATCCATAAATCCATTGGAGCCAAGCGCGCCGTTCTTTCACCACCCACGTCGCGGTCGCGCAGGTGCTGCCAGACTGGAAGCTGTCACCCACGTGGGAGGGCGTGCGAGAAATGCTCGGCAAACTGCAGGAACCACGCTCTTTAGATGCCAAGGCCTCCGGAGTCGAATCGTGATGGGATGGGTCCACCTGAGCGGTCCCCTTTTTTCTTTCACCGGGGGCCCTTGTACCGGAGAGGGGTGGTAGACATGGACACCCCCGGCAACCTCTAAGGAGCTATAATTGGACACCCCTGGCCCGGGGGCCCTGGTATTTGTGTTTCTTTGGGAAGAAGATGGGGTAGATGAGTGTGGCTTGGAGGCAACAAGCTTCATTTTATTCATGTGTGAGATTCGTGATACTGTAATAAGGGTGTTAAACCTCTCTATATATCGTGTTCTATTCTTTGGTGAGGGGTTGGGGGGGCACCCTTAATCACAGTCTCCTGGAGTTCATGTCATCATTTGGCAAGCTTTCTGGATGAGACTTTGGACCTGAACTTTGTAATTATGGCTCCCGCTTTATTTGTACCTAAAAAACCAGGATTCTCAGGCGCAATATACTGTAAATCAACTTTGATTTGGATTAAACCTGGCAGACTTGAATTTTAGAGGATGACCTGCTAGATTCGAACAATAGACCTATTTTCTTCGGTGTGTCGGGGTGACTTTACCGCGCTTGCTTTGACACCACTTCTTAGGGCTCCAACGTCCCACCTCCTGTACTTCGACCCACCCCACCCCACCCCACCCCTGGCCCACCGTAGTTTCGCAGCGGAGGTGGACCAGGGGCGCTGGGTTGCCTGGGGGTGGGTCCAATTTTGTTTGCAGTCTTCCAACATTTGCTACGTTCGTAGCGAACCTTGTTCCTAGTAGTAAGGCCTGGAGCCCCTAGTAGCGTCCTTACTCCTGGAAGCGATGCCCTTTGTTCCTAGTAGTTTCTTGCTCCTAGTTGGTAACGGATCTTCTCACGCAATAACGGTCAAGTCTAGGGAGAGCGTCGGCCCCCTCAATCAGTTCTTTCGAGGGCCTCAGATCCCACATCATGGGCTACCGATCAACAAATAGACTGTGGGGGCGTTGTTTTTTTACACATAGGGAGGGACATCGAATTCCTGCCAGCTGCGCATTCGACCACATCGGGTGGGGTGGAGGGGCTCCAACTTCCAAAAGCGAACCGTGTGGAGCCTAACCGCGGAAAATCAGTGGGAAGGTAGGCCTAACCGCTAACTAGGGGCCGTAAGGGGTCCATTTGGGCGGGACCCAGGACGGATGGGAATGCGTTGAAACTCACCTGGTATGTGAGTTGTTGTTGTTGTTTCTTGGAAGGTGGGATCGTTAGACCAGATAAGGATTTCTTGCTGATCCTGGAGGATTTCAGTGAGACCTGGGGTAAAAGTTTTGAGATGCGCAGATTCCACGTAACATGAAGCACCTTCGTTTCGATTGCACTTGGAACATCTTGGAACCCTTTGTATTGTTTACGTGATGTTTTTTGCTGTGCAGGTGAGGAAGTTGCAGGAAGAGATCAATGTCATGATGGGCCTGCCCGGAACCCCCGGACGACGAGAGAGGGAACCGGACGACCGGCGCGACGAGCGACGTGCGGTGACTGCAGAGGTGGTAGCTTGTAATACTGTGACTGTCCGACAGAATGGCACAAACATCGAACTCAAATGAGATCGTTTCTGAAACGAATAGCATTTATCAGGGCAAAAGTAGGACCCAAGTGACCCAAGTTGCCAACATCTCCCACAGCATCACATCCCTCAGGCGCCATCTCTAGCCCTAGCCACCTCAGAAAGAAAAGGATTGCTTAATGATTGCTTTTTACTCTTTTTTTTTGCAGGAATCCATATAGATCCCAGAAGTGAACTACAAGGAACTTCTCAGGTCTGAGTTTTTAAGTCTATTCTTTCACTCTACGGCCTACTCATGGGACTGGCATCACGAATCAGGTCAAGGGTGGTTGATTTCAGGGGTCAATGGATATACATATTAATTCAACACTCCGTATTTATTCAACCCATATTCAACTACAACTGCTGCAATCTGCAAAATCTTCCGGTCCCAAACAGGTCGTGTTTGGGTTCTGTCTGTCAGATTGTTTTCACGGCTTCGTGGCCTGGGTTCTTGACGAGGCCACGGAACGTGTGCTTCACCCCGTGGCTTGGCATTATGCCACGGGGGTGGTGATGGGGCTCGATCGGGCGCCCTTCGTGCTTTCGTGGGTCCATGGTGAATGATGAGGCACCGAACATCCGAAGGTGAACATCCAGAGGTGGAACCTAGGGATCCGTTTTCGTACCGAACCTCAGAACGACTGGACCCTCCAAACCTACATAACAGTGCCGAACACATCACCGTACCTGAGAAGGTACTTGGATCCCTAGGGAAGTACTTACTTTGGTAGTGAAATTGGTGACTGATACGAGGGCCTACGGGCAGCCAAATGGGTGAAGACGCACCTTTCCACCGATTTGATGGACAATCAAGTACCAACACACATCAAGTACCGGGCAGAGGCTGGGGAGACTTCAAAACAAATATCTTATGGCCGGGTGGCTGAGCTAGCCATTCATGTACTTTCCATTACTTTCCTCAGCCCCAATCCTTTGTGTGGCCTTCTACAAAAATGGCCCAATCGGGCCACAGGGCGATCGATGTGTGTGAAATGGAAGGCTTGACTCTGCGGGCCCAGACCGGGGGGGGGTTGATGGAGCTATATGGAGCTTAAGAGCTTGCTCTGATGACTGTAATGAGCACATCATACAGAGGTTCTCCCAAGAATCAGAACCAAACGACACCCGATTCATATTTTTTGATCCATGTGTGCAAGACAGTGGCCTTCTTATGCAACCCATGTGTGGGACAACGTGGGACATATACCTTCCTACGTGGCTTTTGTATAGTCTGTTGTATGCTTTTGTCCGTTCTCTTCTTCCACGTCAGCGATCTGGGGTTCCATCCTCATCTGGAACACAGGCCTTCGCAGAAGTCGGAGTTCTTGCTCTTCAGGTTCGGTTTCTTCGACGTGTGTCCGCTGGATGCCTTTTTTGGAGTCCGGTTTCAGAGGTTCAATGGCACCCCCAAGATCCCCCAAGACGACTTAGACAAATGGGGGGGGGGGGGTCCATATAAACCACCGAACTTGGGATTGTTCTATCTAAGTACTCTCAATGCACTGTAAGAGAGTGACAAGGGAGTGACAGGAAGCCCTTGGATGGGGAGTGACAGGCGTCAAGTTGCTTTCGGGGGAGGAGGAACATGTGCAATTCCACGCTGCCTTTTCGTGCAAAAATCCTGCAAGTAACCCGGAGTTGGTACTTGACTGGCCTGGCACGTGGCACGCGCCCTTCGCCAAGAAACAGACTGAGTCTACTATAGAGTCTACTAGAGGTGTCCGTTTGGAGCCTTTGTGAGAGTGAGATGGAATTTGCTACAAATACTCGGTGAGACCGCACAAAATGACTGGATCCCGGACCCTTCTTTCGCTTCTTCAGCCCTTGAATTTTGACATTTGCCTCTCGGAAGGCTGCGGCTAGCGCCCTTTTGCAAAAACACTTCATTCAGAAGTACACTCTGACTAGACTAGCATGGGAGGTGGAAAATGGTTCTTGGAAACGGTGATTCTACATGACTTCTGTACAAATAGGATCAAATAGGGTTTTCCTGGAAACAATGGTTCTACACTTCTGTACAAAGACTATGGGTTCTACATGTTCACAGTAGTGAATCGGAGTGAAGTTGTGGTTGAGCGTGTGGTTCCGCGTGTGTGCTTGTCCTTTCAATTTTTGGGGGAATAGCCACAGGATGCAGACTACCTTTGGCCTTTGCAAGTAATGGTTCTCAGAAGCCATACCAGATGACAACATCTACATAGCTATTATCACTCATAGATGGTCATGAAGCGATCCACCAATCGTGTTTCATCCAGGACAGAAGAAAGAACTACAAGAAATGCACCCTGAATCACAACAAGAATGTAGCAACACACATCAGATGTGTTTTTCTGTATATGTTACGGTGTATCGTGTTGACCCCCATTTTTCATTGCAGCCGGCACTAGACCCATGTGTTTGATGTTGAGCTCAAAGAGACGGCGGGCTCAAAGAGACCGACACGGGTGACCGAATGGTTGTGTTTGTTTGCGGGTGGTTGCCTGCCTTGCCTTCTACCTTGTTCTACATGTTAGACTGCCAAGTCTTCTAACTGTCAAACCTTTGAAATCTTATTGGTTTGCTTTTCCTGAAATCGGATTTGTATTGCACATCAGTCAGGACATTGCAGAGTCATACATACTACTACTCTTGTTTGGTTGATCAATAAAAGGGGATTCCTCCGGTCGTGTACATCTATGGTACTTGGCATTGGACCCCTCTATGCTTCCCTATGCTTCCCAAGATCGGAACATCGGCCAGCCTGGGTGCACCCAGTCCAGCCTAACTCATATAGGGCCTCTAGCCAGATCCTAGGACTGGCCTCCAGCCCTTGCCAGGCCCGCAGGCGATGCGCCAGTGCCGGGTTATTCCCTACCTTTGTACCAGGCGGGGTCCATCAGCGTCCGCAGCAAGCACAGGAGACGGTCAAGAGCTTTCTGGTGATGAGCCAGATGTAACGACGTGACGTGACAGCAAGCAAGAGTATTTGAAGATCCTCACCGAGAACGGCGCAGCCCAAGCTTTAATCATGTTCAGACCTCAACTAAGTTGAGTTCATCAACTAGAGTTGGATTGTTTCTGATTGCTTTTTAAATATCTTGTTTGATGCCCGACCTGGAGCCCGGTTTCCGGAGGATGATGATGGCGACGAAGCCCATGAATTCCTGGATGAAGACGAGGAAACGAAGCCCATCCGGGTGACGGTGGGTCGTGGGTCGGTGTTCGGTACCCAGGTTGCTGTTCGCCTCTATCAACCTCTATGACTTCACCGATGCAGTGTGGATTGGATGCCAAGCGATCTAAGCGGCTTACCTTTACCCAGACACTCCATGGGACTGGTATATTTACCTACATTGGGGTGGTTTGGGGGGGTCAATGTAGGCATATATGGTATACATGGAGTGTCTGGGTTAAAATCTTTTAAACAATAAACGGAACAATTGTGTAGAGAATTACATTTGTTGCCATAGCTAAGGCAGGAGTGTTCAGCAACAATGTGGTATTTTGGGGGGGCTGCACCCCCCAAACAAGGGCAATCGGTATTGATTACCCGGACTTTGGTGGGCAGTCCCGGAAGGCTTCATGCTCAGCTGTAGTAAAACACTGGTGGTTGGGTAAGATCCATTAGAAACAAGGTAGGCCGGGCCAGGATTCTTAAGGACTCTCACACAGCAGCTCGGCACTCGGCACACACTCGCAGCAGCCGTGGCATTAGGAGACCGGGGAGCTGAAGCCCCGTGGCACCGACACGCTGAAGCCGGTGGGTGGCGCTGAGGCGAGGCTCAGCGAAGCGCGGCAGGACATGTTGGCACGCGATGTGATGCGGGGCACACAGGTTCAAGGATATATAGATATGTTTATTGATCAAATCTGCAAAACGACCCGACCCAAGCAAGCAAGTCAATGCTCAATCTGTTTCATTTCTTTCCAGCTGGGCTGCTCGCCTTTGAATTTTAGGTTTGTGGAAGAACACAAGAAGACAACCAAAGCCAGCATAGTTGGATAGGCACAGGCAGCTTTGTTGTTTTTCCCTGGTCGCGAGCGACTGTTTTTTCCGTCAGAGACGGGTTTGACCAGGCCGAGGAGGTTTGGTACCAAGTGGTGCACAATCCAGCGGTGATGATCCGCGAGCAGCCAGATGAGAAGGTGAGACCGGGGATTGAGGAGAGTAACTTTACGTAATTTCACCTGTCGTTGGTCGTGTTTATCTTGGCTTTGAAGCAACCTTATCGTATTCTATCAATTTCTATCATATTTGTATAATACATCTATATAAATACATATTATATATACATATTATGTTGCCTATAGCCATATATATAAAGATGTCAGTTTCAGAGTTGGACTCTTGGGGCGATGGCTGTGATGCGTGACTGAATAAAACGTGTCAGTTTTCAGAATAGTTAAGATGAATCAGGACCAGGAGCTGTTCCTTTGTTCATTACGGTACATAGAGGCACATCGCGGGTTGCACCATTGCCAAGTTTGCTCGCTGTTCTCGTAGCTTTGATGCCTGCCCATCTGTGAGGGTAGCTGAGAGCAGTTCCGCCAGAAATCATGTCCTCCATCCACCCAGATGAAAATAATCAACGAAATCAAAGTACGGGTAATACATTCGTCAATTCGTTTGTTTTTTCGTTCCATCCACCCAGAGCTCTTCCAAGTCCGACTTGGACCGATCTGTTCTGCTTCGTTCGAGAAGGCGAGGATGGTGGGCCGCAAGAAGGCGGGATGGATCCGCGTGGGTCCCACGCACCCGTGGAGAAGAAGCGGAGTGAAGAGAGAGACGCCCAGCTGTTCCGCCAAGTTTTTCTTTTTGTTTAATGGGCCTCTAATTGTATATTGAATTGCTAAGCCCTATGGACCCAGTTGCTGACTCATATGGACTCTAATTATTGATAAACATTTGTAGCTATGGACTTAATCAATTGCATTTTGCCATACAACTCACGGATTCTTAACATACTCCTCATTGGACGGGGCCAGATCTGCCCAGAAGATCCTGAAAACACTTGGAGCGTCATGTAGACTAAAACATAACACTCATTTGGATTGCAAAGGCTCTTCAGAAGAGGGAGTTATATAAATGTATCATGAATCTACATCAAACAGCTCGACACGGAACTCTATATTTTTGGTCATGTTCCAGTGTAGTACTGGGCAGGGGTTGACAGACGAGATATGTATGAGCAGATTCAAGAAAGTCGTTTGTTTGTGGTTTTAAGATTCTTCAGTTTCAGCTTCAGGGTGACACTTTTTGGAAAGCTAGCAGCAGCTTAATGTTAAAGGTATGATTATTATATATTGGACTTAATCATATATATATATATGTTGTAGTGCTGATGGTCGACATGTTCCCACTCCCTGTCAATTGCTCGTTCATGTGAAAACTGCCAGACCGTGACATGATACCACTTGAAAGGCCCCAAACAATATGCTAAACACTGCATGACCAGCTTGGTGAATTGTGTTATCATCCATTTGGCGCAAAGGGGCAGCAATGATTCGATGGTTTCCAGTGCCCTCAAAGCATCCCTTGCAGGCTGGCAAGAGGCTCAGAATACAAAGCGTGAAGGCCAGGTCTCCCGGTACCTGGGATATCCAGGCACGCTTGGCTATATAGATGTCCTATGATTTCCTCACCTCATGTTGCTTCATTTGATTTGCTATGAATCAGCAGACCCTTCAGGAATGATGTCAAGTGAAGCGTTTTTTCATGGCAAAGCCAGCTTTTCCGAACTGCTGGGGTGTTCCAAGTCGATCAAACATCACCGAGCGATGTGGCCCGATGGGTGGAATCCTGCACGATTGTGAAGTACATGTATCCCGACAGGTCAAGGATCTCATTTTACTGGACCTGGTCATACGGAAAGTTAAGGACTAGTTTTACTGAGTCTTGGAACTTGTAGGGTGTCTATATACTGTATATATATATACACGTCCTATATAAGTATATATATAGTTCGACGGCTCTTGGAATGGACATGAAAGGAGACAATAAAAAAGCAGGCATCGGCAAGGTCCTTCAGGGCTAACAAAGGCATGTTCTTTTGTCCAAGGGTCTTTCCCTAGATGTGACTTGAAGTTGCTGCGCCCCTGAGGAGGACAAGCTGCAAATTGGGAGTCCTTTTTAGTCTACAGTGATTGGGTGTCCGAATATATTATATAGGCTTCACCCAAGGCCATTGATGTAGGCAATTTCAAAATTTCACATGTTCGGGTTCTCAACATTTTATTCATGTAATTTGTTCCTTTTTGGTGACCACTTCAACGTCTGAAGCACCGCAGGATGGCAAGTGGCTCCAACTGCACCCCTCCGAGCTGGTGAAGCTCGCTGCTCAGGAGGCCTCGCCGGTACGCCGCAGGTCATGGACAGGTTGGACTGTTGTCAGAGTTGTGGGCCTTGAAGGTGTCGAGCTTGTTTTTGGGAAGATGTATGGGTCAAGATTGATATGAACGTGTGGAATTTCTCCTTGACGTCCATACGTGGAGACGATTTGAACACTGACAGCGCGAGTCCGTTGGAGCAGCGGACATCCATGAGACCCTTCGTCGCAGAAAGAAAGAAGTCAGAAACAAGTGAAGAAGTGGCCTCCTGGGTATGCCGCGGACTTTTTCCACTAGCTCCACATTGATTGTTTTCCATTTCAACCAGGGTGTGCACAGTTTAATTTTAGTGTGTTATTGGAGAGACTGATGTTCAATCACCCACATACACAGTTGAGCTCAGGCTGAAGAGAGACATGCACAGCTATTGATGCATCCGTGAGGGCTGGGGAGACCTTTTCCAACCTTTATGCTCTCGATGATGGGATGAAATATGCTCATGCCATGATGACGAACATCGGAGGATGATCAGCAAATGTATAGCCCATCATCTCTCAAGATGCTATGACTCTCCAAGCACAGTTGGAGACCATTACTTTGCCTGATTGTTTTGAAAACAACTTTCGTTTGCAACAAAAAAAGGTAGTACAGTAGCCAACATGGCTGCTGCTCAGTGTGTTGCACTCAGCTGGCTGCTGCTTTCCCCCCGTGGACCCGGGTGACTTCAGCTCTGTCCAGCGACGCTCGCTCCAGGGATGGGTTGTGATGGACCCAGTCGAGGCTGGTCTTCCGGCTGGTTCACCTTTGCCTCTTGGCATGAACAAGCCGGACCAAGCCATTGTGTTTTGTGTTTTTGTGTGTGTGTGTGCAGTGTGTGTGTGTGTGTGTCCACCCCTGGAAAAAGGGTTCTCAACCAACTTCGGCAGGAGCACTGAGCACTCCTTGGCAAACTCAGTGCAACGAAGCTATGCCTTGGAGTGGGAAGCACGGATTGATCACCCGTGTGTACCTGCAAGAACTTTTTACAAGCTGTCCAATCCGCACGGTTTGATTCATGGTGGTTCCACAATACTTCCCCCAAACCTTTCCCCACCGCAGACCTGCAGCCGCTTTCCCGCTGAGCAGCGCCGACAGATCATTCTGCAGACTTGCACCTGTGGAAACAATTTTAAACAATACTGTTTGAGCCGACTCATGCGCCTTGCCGTTCCCTCACCTTTTTCCCAACGTGGTAACTGAGTCACTGAAAACCAATGTCAGAGTGTGTTTCGCTCAGCCGTCCCACTCGGGTGCTGAGTGTGATCCCCGTCACAGGGGCGCTGTTTTTTGCATCGTAATTCAACCACCCCAACGTACCACTTTTCACTGGACCTTCACCGGAAGTCACGGCCACCCCCATAGAATCAACTGATGCATTGGCCGCCGGGCCCAAAAACGGCATTGCTTCGACAGCCGCCGGGCTATAAAACGGTGCTCACCCCCCATGGGGCAGGTTCCCCAAACCCCCCCCCCGC